ATGATACCCATCTTTCCACTGACCCAGTGTTTGGTTATTTCTAAACCACGATGAAGGAAGGGAAGAAATTACCACGGGTTCAGTCGAACATTTGTGAACTGGAGACCGTGGAACTGCGAATCTGAGGAGAACGCCGATGAGGAGGAAGGCTCGGAAGACGAGATCACGGTAACCTTCTTCTTAGAGGAAGAAGCGGTTCGAGCAGCTTTTGAAGACGAAGGTTTCGAAGAACTGGTCTTTCTTTTGGGCGCCATTGATGCCGAACCACAGAATTACGATGTTTTTTTCCAAAAAGTCCAGAGAGACGAAAAAAATCCGAGAAATTGGAGAAGAGAAGTGGCGGATAAGAGAGAGTGAAACGGGCTTAAGTGTAATAAAGGTATGAATTTGAAAAAGGCTGGAATTCCCAAAAGCTCCTTACAAGAATCAAGGGTTTGAATAAGGGAAGAGTAAGAGACAGTAAAAGGAGGAGATAGATGACTTCTGTCACGTGACTAGACTACTCAAGAAGAGAAATAAATACATTTTGAAAATCAAGGACTCTTAATTCCTTTTTGAAAATCATAAAAATAAAAATTGCAACGTCCCTCTTTCTATTTAAACTACCCCACCCACTCATTTGAAGCTTTATTGTTGTTCTTCTAAAATTTCCTTTTACCCTTTTTTGATTTCTACTTGTCAATGTCTTCTTCTGGCATGAGTTCTTCAACCAACAGGAGTGGAAGTGGTTTGTGGTTCAAATCAGTAAACTGCAACTGTGGCCCCTCAAGAGCTGCTGATATATGATTCGCAAGCTCTGTTCCAAACCCAGGAAAGCCCTACTACAAGTGTAGATTTTGTGAATTTTTCATGTGGGTTCAGAGGGAGCAGTTTGTGTGTGACACAGCTGGTAGGGTGGGTAACACACCTGAAGCTACAAGTGTTGCACTTCTAAGGCGAGAATTCAATGAGTTTATGCGGAAAAAAGATGAATTTCCTAACTTTGTTCATTTTGTGGTTAAAATTGGTGTTGTTATGTATTTGGTGTTATTATTGGTTGCTTTGAAATGATGTGATGTAGCTGTAATCTGCTATTTCATATGAATAAAGCGAAGTATATGTTCTGTTTTTGGTAATGTAGCTGCTGAAATTCTTTTTTATAGTAGAACTAGTGTTGTATTGTTATTCAATACACAAAACAATGTTTCAATAGACATAAACCAACACAATTTAAAGCTACTACAGACATAAACAAACACAAGGTTTCAATATACATTTGACTTCTTAGTTACCAGCATCACCATCATCAAGATCTGTTAAAGCAGTAATATAGAAAACCCCCTGACCAACATACCGGACACTGAGAGCATCACCATGCTCAACATCATTGTCAGCCACAAAGTTCTCCCAACCAGAATACATGAACAGACCACGAGCGTGACTAAGATTAGCACTGAGCAATTCCACATGCCACAATGGCCCTCCTGAACCACGTTGAACACGAACAGGACCGGAAAAACCAGAAGCAAAAGTCTTCTAACGTTTAGGAAGAGGCTACGCACAAGGAAAACAAGACTAGAACAAAATTAGGCACACACCTATAATTATTCCACGAATACAAAGACAAACACACATATGCAAGTTAAAAACACAACCAGAGCATGTATGTGGTGGTTCTTATAATTAATTATGCATTCCATCTCAGCATCAACACCACCAACCTCGTTCCGTTCTCCTGGACCTCCTCCAACACCACCTTCATCCCTCACATGACCTCCTCGAACACCAACATTCCTAAGCCGCTTCAACTGGGCCGTCAAAACCCTCAATTCTTGTAGGTTTGCGTTATGTGCCGCTCTAATTGTAGCCAATTCTTCTGCCTCGACCTTCCACTGGGCACGAATTTCAGCCAATTCAGTGTACACCACTTCAAGCTGCTCTTGCAACTCACTGACTTTACTGTTGTTCGCCATGGTTTCGGTGTCGTAGGATTGGAATTACAACAAAAGATTTCTTACAATTTGGATTAATGCTAAACGGAGAACTGAGAAAAATGACAAAGAAAACGGAGAAGTCAAAAGACAAGTAAAGGGGTTTTTACAAAAAAGGGTCTGATGGCAATGAAAGAAGAAGATGTTAGAGCATATAAATATTGGTGAGGATGGTTTTGTCCTCTTAAACATTATATCTCCTTACCCTGTTTTGACACCTCATACTCTCTTTCATCCACCTCATTTCCCACTACCTCTTTCCTCTCTTCCATCCTCTTCCATTTATTTTCCCCACATCAAAGGGTATCCTCTTGATATATTTTATACTATAACTATGGCCCCACCTTCAAATTTTATCTCTGTGAAAGATTATTTTTTATTGATTTCTTTAATGATAAGGTCTAATAATGATAATAGTAATAATAATTAGGATTCAATAATTAGCATACATAATAAAAATTACCATACTTTACCAATATTTTGATACAATAACACATGAAAATAGGAATAAAAACACTAATTGATACACTAAAGTACAACAAATACAAGAAATTAAAGACAAATAACTAATTATTCTCTTTTTTCCTTACCGATTACTAGTATGCTATAATCTTGCCCACAAATATTCTGCCAAATTCATATTTCTTCCATTACTATGATTATTTTCATCCATTACAAAAGAAAATTATAAAAAGAGAGGAAAGAGAAGGAGTGAAAAAGATGCAAAATTGAAGTGAATAAAAAATGGCCAAAATTAGGTTCATTTTATAGAAGAAAAAAATACAACCATTGGTAAAATTAGTTTTTAAAAATATGTTACCGTTTGTGATTAATTACCATTATAATTTTTTTGAGTTAGTAGAATTATGTAACAAAAAAACAAATACAAGGTTGACACTTCGTCCTCTTGGCACAAAGAACAAGGTGCTCAGATCAATCCTTTTCCATAAGAGGATTGTTGAGGATCCTCAATATTACCCAACATCAAAGAGGACTATTCCAAATCAACAAAAACCCCACACAAGAGGAAATATATCCTCTCCAATAATCTTGCTCAAATGTACAATGGTGGGGATTCTTGAATCCCCTTAATTCTTCTCTCTCATTCTCTCCTTTTGACACATCATTTCTCTTTCTTCCACATCATTTTCCACTATCTCCATCCTCTTCCTCTTCCTCTGTTTTTATTTTTTCCCACAACAAAGGGGATTCACGAATCCCCTTCCTTTCTATTTTTATGCCCCACCATCTTCTATTAAATAAGATATTTGCAAATTTAATATGACAAACTATTATAATTAGATTAATGACAATTTAATGATAATTTAAAATGCATAATTAGTAAATAGAACGGTCGTCACACATATAATAAATAGTTAGAAAGGAACATTGCAATACATCATGTAAAAAGATTTTGAAATATGGCAAATTTAGGTTCATTTTATAGAGAAAAAAAAAAATATAACCGTTGGTGTTTTTTTTTTAAAAAAAAAATAAGTTACCGTTTTTTTTTATTATAACCGTTTTTTTTATTATCGTTTGAATAATTTTAACCGTTGTAAATGTCAACCAATTACAAAACAACAAATGTCAGCAAAAGCAAGCAACACGTGGGCTCTTGCCAACCCGGCCAGCCAGCAGGAAGCTGCCACGTCGCTCTTGCTTGTCCCCTTCCCCACCTTTAATTTTTCAATCCCCTTCCCCATCTCTTCTTCCTCTTCCCAAAGAGGATTTACCATATTCCTCTTCCTAAGAGGACTCCCCATTTCACCTCTACAATGAAGGGGATTCCTCTTAAGAGGAGAGAGAAGGCTAAGAGGAGGGTGAATCCTCTCCATTGCACAAGAAAATATTACGCTTGTTTCCCATGAACTCTGGCAGTGTTAGGTCATTGTCAACTGGTCAAAACTATTTGCGTTTCAGAAAGTGTGTCATTGTCAATGTGTCTTCATTGTCGTCAAGTATCACTTTAGCCAAATATTCATGATTTTGAATCGGCCTTTTACCACACCCATATTTTCACACATGACACACACCCACTTATAAATCGTATATGTAGTGTTGGTAATGCAATCGTGGTAAGTGAACCACTTAAGAAAGATCGCTTTTAATTTTTCATCCCCAATTGATCTCAGTCAAGACGTGGCCTAAAATTCTGAAGGAAACACAATTAGCTTTGGAAAATAATTAATTACACAAAGATCACTTAAGAAAGACCAATTTAAAAAATTAGAGCAATTATTTAAAATTATTAACATAGGGTCTTACCATCCATATTATCTCTACTACTTATCAATTAGCTGATATTATTACTAAGCCTTTAAGTGAAGAACGATTAAATTTTATTCGACTGGAGTTGAGGATGCTAAAGGTACACTATGCGTATCGTATTATTTAGTAGTTGTGTCCAACCAAAGCTGCTGCTAAAACACCACTTCCAGTGAGTAACAATGCACAATAACACAACCTTTCAAAAAAACGAAAAATCGAAGAACCATGATGTGATGTTTGCAAGATCGGGTGCACAAGCAATGATTGTCTTAAGAAGCATGTAGTGGGAAAGAAACACCAAATGAACTTACGAAAGCTCTACAACCCCATTAATTGATGATCTCAGTGCTATCCCTCACCCCACTTATCTCTTTCTGGTTGTATTATACTTATCTAGTTGTCTGTTTGAAAAACAATATTACAAGTGTAGTAGTATATGGTACATTGGTTGGACTATGTTCAAAGAATGCATTTTTCATATGTGCTATTCTGTGGACATTAGGACACGAACATATGCTCCACTTCGGTCATGATGGTACATTATATATACGAAATGGATGATTAATATGTACCACTTTAGTGACGGTGGTACATTTTATTTACGAAATGGATGATAAAATTGTACCACTTTTGTCACGGCGGTACATTTTATTTACAGTGGTACATTTTATTTACGAAATGGGTGATAAAATTGTACTACTTTAGGCACGGCGGTACATTTTATTTACGAAACTGCCACTGTGAGTTTGAAAACTGCCACTACGGTAAACTGCACTCTGTTTGTGTGTGTTGTTCTGAACTGCGAAATATTTCATTGCGTGTAACCTGAACACAAAGTTGACAAATCATAATCTACGAGTTTAAAAAAGACATGTCATTAATACAGATCATATTCAGTACACAGGACTGGTAAGTAGACCACATAATATTTCATAAAATACGCTTATTTCCCTAATGCATTTACTTGTCATACAAGATATTGTACTTTCCGCATCCTCGTCATAAAGAGGATCCCATGGGTTTAAGTTCTTCTCGTGCTGTAGTTTTTTTTTTTGCAGAATAATTTAAGCTGTGGCACATAATGTACAATCATATGGTTGCGCATCCTATTTGACATCGCCATCTGACGTAACTTCCTTCTGCACTGGACTATCCCTGCAGATCCGATGTTGTTGATGGTGTTCTCCAAAAACTTAACACCCCTTTCTTCTTGTCCGGTGTATATGTATATGAGGCTTACTACATATTCTTCCATTGAATTATGCAACGCAGTTGCTCTTTCCAACATCGTCAAGCCTTCGTCTAGCACCAGGGTGTTGAAGTATTGTCGCTACGGTAAAGAGAAATGCTAAAACAGTGATTAGAAGTCTACAACAAAATTTCTGACAAATAAAATTCCCAACAAATAAGAAAGAAGACGTACAAAGCCAAAGTCAAGCATTGCCTCAGGATGTTCATTCTCCACGCGCGTCATGAAGAACTTCTTCGCCGCTTCTCGGTGTGGCCACGACATTCGTGTTTTAATCCAGCGGAGGTGAAGTTGTTGAAGGACCCCTTTTTCTTCGGCTATCCGTCGCAGTGTTTTACAACTATTATCATCAAGTTATACAGCATAAATTAGATTATTACATTCTCTGTGTATGTGATGAGAAACATAGTGCATCTTGCAAGTATAAGCGTACCTTAATTTGCACCGAAATAAATCAGCAGGAGATGACTTGGCAACGACACTTAGAATGTTCGCCAACACTTCTAACGGCAGGATGTCAACCATAGAGGTTGTAAATTTTCGCCCTTTCGCTACTACATCCATTTTTGAATTTTTTAGAGAGGGAGATCTCATTGTCCGAATAGAAGGAAGTTAAGTTTGTTGCAAAAAGAGTTTGACACATAAATAGACTTCAAAGTGACGGTTCACGGGTGTGGATGTAGTGGGTTGGGAGTTGTGATGATGATGGTGGATAATTGAATTAGTGGGGGAGACTTATAAACCGGCGAGGATTTCTTGGAAACTGCCAATTAGAAGTGTTACGTAATAAATGTACTACTATCCCAATATTTCTAGATGGACAGGAAAAGTAGGAAACATAATTAAAGAGTCCCAAACCAGTAAACGGCGAAATGCATAGGAACATACCTTGGAGCGGAATTCACTTGGCGAGGTTTTTTTTAGGTTTTCTAGACGGCTTTAAAGGGGAATGAACAGGTGTTTTACTCGTACAACGAAGTATGGAAGTAAAATGAATACGGTGATGAACTGTGGAATTAATGCTCCCAATTTTCGAGGGGAGGTAGTGATGGCGTTTCATTTACGAATTTTAATTATCCAATTTTCCTGTTTTTTTTTTTAATTTAATTTTTTTATTTTAATTGGGAAACTTTACCAATTTCTAATTGTATCAATAATTTGTGGTAGTTATGTGTAATCCCCAATGTTCAAATCCAAACATCAAGGATCATAATGAAAATCGCAATTAAACATTACATCAAGGATTATTATGAAAGTCGTAATTAAACATTCAATTGTAATTCATTGTCTAGGATCATTAGGTTTCCTACAAAAGGGGATTCAGTTGATTTTATTTCATACGACAAGGATCATTACGCTTGTTATAGAGGGGGATTAAGTTGATTTTGGTAATTTGTGATATTTATTTAATATGTTATTTAGACATGTTAGACCTTTACACTGGAATACGGTTCGATGCAGAGCGGTTGCGGTTTGAAACAAATATGTCGTCATCATTTTTTTTACGTACTACTATTTTTCACTAGGTTTCCTTTATTTTGTTGTAATTTTATTTACAAAAAACGCTATAATTATAAAGAAATAACATAATTTTAGTTCAACAAATAAATTGTTGGTGTAACATCAATCAACTAGGTATTACCCATACGCTATCAACCATTGCACAATTAGAACTTTTTAGCGAATCAGAAAAATGGGAAAAAGGATTCCCCAAAAATAGTACAAGTGCAACCATTACGTAAATTAAAATAACAAGAGCAATGATTTAATAATTAATTGTTATTGAATTTTTTGAGGAGCATTGTAATTTTGTACTAGTCCAATGAATTGCTCCAATAATATGGTCTTAACTCTTGAGTATGGTTGAGTTGAGGGCGTTTCTCCTTTAAAACTGTTCTTCTGATTGAGTGTTGGTTTCAACAAATTTAAGGTTCGGGGCCTGTTCCGATTTCAACATAAGTTTTCGGGCTACGATCGAATAACAACCTTCACAGATTAACTTACATATTATCTTAGAAAACTAAATACCAGGTTCAACTATACTTGTACATTTAATTATTATGTTCCGACTCAAATTACCGTCGTACTGTAGTGACAATTTTTTATAAACCTCATAAACGCAAATTGTTAACCCCGAATATATATACAAGGTGAATTATTGTATTTTTCTAAGCTCCGTCGAAGAATTATTATTCCGTCACAATTGCATTGCATTACCAACTTTGCAAATACGATTTACGAATGGGTGCAAGGGACACTTGAAACTATGGGTGTGGTAAAAGGACATGAATACACTATGGTAATTCACCTTCGTTCACGTCGCACTTTTTTTTACAATGACATTTACACACTTCCTACTTTCCTAGTGATTCAAATATTGTTGACAATGACAACTCAATGCCAAAGTGTCTGAGACATTTGCAAGCAAGTCATTAGGACTGCTGTTGGCCAATTTTCTCTGCACAACAGTGACGGATGAGCTCAGTACCCTTCTGTGCAGAGAAGTAGAGAACCATGATAAATTTGGCTTCGTTTGTCGAGAATTGATAATTATGTAAAACACAATAAACGAAGCAATTTTAGTTGAAAAGCCACATTTTAGAAAAACTACATGTTTTCCATCATTACTGCATAGAAAAGACAAGTGGGTAATCCGCTTATTAATCCTCCCATTGAATTGTCAAATCAAACCTTTTCACTCACTTCACCCTTTCAACTTCAAACTCCTACTCAACCCAATTTATTACTTACACCCAATTACTTAAACGGAGTTAAACCCAATTTCTTTCTCACTCTTCACTTTATAATACATGATCCGTGAAAAAACGTACTCGTATTACTTAATTTATCTCACTTAGTCATATTTATAATAAACATCGCAATTCTTCACATATACTCGTATGTGTGACCTCATAGGACCGGATTATCATTGGTAGTAAACTAATCGCATTAGGCCACAAATCACAGTTTGTTTGTAGCAAAACATTATGATTACCTAAAATAATCGATTAAAATTAATCTCCATATTTGTCCTAAAGCATTATGATTACCTAAAACATTATGTTTACATATACAGTTGGGTGATTTTTTTACCACTTTAGATACGAACATACGAAATTGTTCAGGATGGTTATAAACTTGTACCACTTCGGTAACGGTGGTACAAAACCCCCCTTGTTTTGGACCACTCTCGAAACATGGTCTGACCCATTCAATTTTGCCGTATTTTATCACAGTGGTATAAAACATCCCCGAAATATGATGTGACCCTTCTAATTTTGTTCGTGCTTAAGAACGGAACGTACGACATTTTTCAAGGTGGGACATTAGTTAAAAATTTAATACCACTGTAATCTTGTGGTAAAAAGATCTACTGCACATTTAACAACTACGATAACATTTGTACCACTGTAATTTGGTTGGTACAATACCTCTTATGATGAGAAACAAATGTAAGTCTACATCCAATGTAAGTCTACAACCATCTACAAACACAACAATATGACATGGGACTATGGGAGGTTACTGTACTTCTCTAAGATTTAGCAATGATGATGAAAATGTTCTGCTTAAGAAGTATCCGTATTTATATATAATCAAATACGAATAACACTAACAATGCATGTACTATGTTGTCAAAGTGAGTTAATTATGTGTGCACATCTTGGACCTATTTTAAAACCAAATATGAATACAAGTAAAGTATCATAACATTCCTCAATCTATGTTGACTAAAACGATTGAATCCTAAAGTAATACTCATCAATACATTCTGAATTAAAGTTTCATGAGCCCTTGTCAAGGATGGTGTTATCGGTTTTCGGCTTATTTCAATTTTCTGCAGCAGCGTATCTCGAGGGAAATTTAAGGTGGCTTACAGCGTCATTATCCTTAAACAACCTAAGGATTTAGTTACCGAGCAGAAGATTTCATAGTTTGGCTCTCCATCAGATGACTGAATCCCCTTTGACAACCGTCCCAATTGATCAAAATTACGGATAGTAAGGCCAGATGAGGGTATCATATCTCCCTCAAGTTTCGATAACCAATTGTCGACGAATCGAAACCTGAGGGAGATATAATACTCTTATCTTCACCGTTTTGATACTCAGCGGGCCGTAAAATTCACAAAAGCATACCCAAAACTACCTCTCAAAGGAAGTAAAAACCAACAAATAAATAAAGACAATGGATAACACAGTGCCGAACCGGGATGTTACGGTTTGTCAGAGAAGTGCAATCGCGAAACGGGTATCTCTCGAGGGATTTCTTAAGGTGGCGTACAACATCAATATGGAGAAATAACCAATCATAATTGAGGTAGTGAAGGAGGTTTTACAGAGGGAGTAATGGGAAAGTTTAAGGAGAGAATTTAGAAATAATTTAGGAACTAAAAAAGAGAATTAGGATTTGACAGGCAATGGACTCTTTCGGGCGGCATTGCTAAAAAGAATGAGGCTTTGAGCTAGAGATATGATGGAGTTAGAAAATGGGGGGGGGGGTTGACGAGCGCTAAATCGGTGTCATCTTCTTTCCAAGATTTGTAATTTGGGATGTCAAGTTGTTTATAGCATTGAGGTGATCTACCGAATAAGCCGCCCCCCACTCTTGCTTGTGGATTCTCTTTCATTTTCTTGCCAATCCATGTGGTGCCTTACCACATCTTCAATGATCTCAATCACTTGATCTTCGGTTTTATTCATGATTGGCCCACCGGCTCCCGCATCCAAGCTTGTTTTGCCTTGAGAACTCAAGCCTCCATAGAAGATTTGTAAAACTTGGTATGTTGGGATTCCATGGTGAGGGCACTCTCTTTGGTACTCCTTGTACCTCTCCCAAGCTTCATAGATAGTCTCACTACCCCTTTGCCGAAAGCCTTGAATTAGAGCTCTTGCCTCGGCCGTCTTCTTTTGAGAGTAGAATCTCCCTAAGAAAGCCGTGGTGACCTCATCCCAAGTCCTCAAAGAATTAGGTCTCACCTCCTTCTCTAGCTATTCGAGAGCCCTTCCTATTAAGGAGAAAGGAAATAGTTTTAGTCTCACAAACTCTTGAGTGACCCCATTCACCTTGATCGTGTTGCAATATTTCTCAAACTCGTTCAAATGTGCAAGAGGGCTCTCGTGTTTTGCTCCACTAAATTGTCTCCTCTCAATCAAATTTATCATTGTGGGCCTAATCTCGAAGTCATTGGCCGGGGTGTTTGGGGGAGCAATCCCACTTGAAGCTCTATAAGCTCCCGGAGTTCCCATCTCCTTCAAAGGTCTTGGAGGTGGTGGTGGTGGGTTGTCACCCATTGGATTTCTTTGTGGTTCCGGGTTGGATTCTCTTCTTGGGGAAGTGGAGGACCGCGAACGAGATCTCCTTCTTCTTCTAAGGGTTTGCTCAATCTCGGGATCGTAAGGCACCAACTCACGATGTTGAGTCCTACGCATACGCACTCAACAAACACAATTAGTAGCAAGGCTACAAGCGTAGCCAAAAAGGAAAACAACTCTTTTTGTGTTTTTTTAAAGGTGAATTAGACTCAAGCAATCAAATAGCAATCAACAACACCGCTCCCCGGC